CGCTGTGGCTCAAGTGGTAGAGCGCTAGCCTTGAGCTGAAGAGCTGAGGGACAGCGCCCAGGCCCAGAGTTCAGGCCCCACGACCAGACCCAAAAAAAAAAAAAAAACCACAAAACAAACAAAAAAGAATGTCAGGGATGTTTCCTCCCCGGGCTGGCCTTGAACCACGATCCTCAGAATCTCAGCCTCCTGAGTGGCTAGGATGACGGGCACGTGGCCACCCATGTGGCCGTGTGCATCCTTTGACAATAGAACATTCTGGTATCTTCTGGATGCTTCTGTCAACTGTGTATGGGGGGGGAGGGGCACCCCCTCTGTCCTGCTGCTGACCGTGTGTGCCCGTCCCACCCCAGGGCACCCCGCAGGCACCATGGCACAGAAGGGCCAGCTGAGCGACGATGAGAAGTTTCTCTTCGTGGACAAGAACTTCCTCAACAGCCCGATGGCGCAGGCGGACTGGGTGGCCAAGAAGCTGGTGTGGGTGCCGTCGGAGAAGCAGGGCTTCGAGGCGGCCAGCGTGAAGGAGGAGAAGGGCGACGAGGTGGTGGTGGAGCTGGTGGAGAACGGCAAGAAAGTGACGGTGGCCAAGGACGACATCCAGAAGATGAACCCGCCCAAGTTCTCCAAGGTGGAGGACATGGCGGAGCTCACCTGCCTCAACGAGGCCTCCGTGCTGCACAACCTGAGAGAGCGCTACTTCTCCGGCCTCATCTACGTGAGTGACTCGGGGGGGGGCTCCCCCGGGGGTGTGGGCTGGGGGATCACACCCCCCCCCGCGTGGCCAGCCACTGGCCGCATGGGGCTAACTTTAATCAGGTTTGAAGATGCACCTGTTCAGGCTACCAGAGATTCCCTGCGGTGTTCACAGAGCCTGTGCAAATATAAGTATTTATTTCGTTATTTATTTCCTTGTCAGTCCCGGGACTTGAACTCCCCTGGCCTGGGTCTCTGAGCTCTATTGTGGCTCCTCCAGGCGAGCGCTTGGCCACTTCTTGGAGCCACAGGTCCCCGTCTGGTTTTCTGGTGGTTCATTGGAGATAGGAGGCTCCTGCCTGGGCTGGTTTTGAACCGCGATCCTCAGATCTCAGCCTCCTGAGTAGCTAGGATGACAGGCGTGAGCCACCGACACCCCGCGATAGAAAATGTTTTAAGTATTATTATTTAAAACTTCATCTCTCCAGTGGTATCTTGGCCCCAGATCAAGCACTCAATGGGCACTGAATTTTGGTGGATACAGCATTGGGTAGTGTAAATCTAGAACATTCTTAACCTGGAGGGACCGGACTATACAAGGGACTGGTGACAGGGGACACAGGTTCCATATGGGGTTAGAGCCAAACCTCAGAAGAAAAGGGACAGAGATATCCTCATGATAGACGTCCTTACCTATTTATTACTGCCTTGTTATGCCAGCCCTGGGGCTTGAACTCAGGGCCTTGTGCTACTAGAGCGCAGCTCCACTTCTGGCTTTTTAATGGTTAATTGGAGATAAGTGTCTCATGGACCTTCCTGCCTGGGCTGGCTTTGAACCCTGATCCTCAGATCTCAGCGTCCTGAGTAGCTAGGATGACAGGTGTGAGCCACCAGCACCCAGCTTTCCTTGCCGGTTACCTAATTTCTTTGAAACATCATTTCCTTCCCTGTAGAAAAGACACAAATCTCTCAGAGTGAGATTTTTTTCTTTTTGCAAACAAATCACCATCAAGCCAGCCATGGTGGCACATGCCTGTAATCCCAGCTACTCAGGAAGTGGAAGCAGGAAGATCAGAGTCTGAGGCCAGACCAGGCCAAGTGAGTGCAAGATCCTATGAAAACAAACTAAAAGCAAAAGGGCTGGGGACATGGTTCACGTGCTAGAGTGCTGGCTAGAGCTCCCCGCCCCCCAGCTACCTCTGAAGGGCTATGAATGTATCATGTGGTGTGTCTAGGTGTTGGACTTATACACCCTTCATTGGTTATGATTGTTATTTGGTAGTACTGAGGTTTGAACTCGGAGTCTCGCACTTGCTAGGCAGGTGCTCTTCCACTTGAGCCACACCCCCGGTCCTTTTTTGCTTCATTATTATTATTTTGGAGAAGGTAGACCTGGGTTCTCCATCCTCCCTGTGCCTCCTGCATGGCTGGGATTATAAGCATGTGCTGCCATGCCCAGCCTGGGCAGGTGCTCTCACTTGACTAGCTTGCTCCATTTCTAGGCCAGCATAGGAGGCCTGGAACAGGAAAGCCCATCATCTTTCCCTCTCTGAGGGAAGTTCTGCGCACGCATGGCATTTTTGTGTGGAAATGTTATCTTCCTAGGTTGGCAGGTGGGCTTTCCCAAGGGCCCCTCTGGAAGGAGCGGGGTGTGTAGGGAAGGGAGGTCTCCTTGGGGTCCTTGGGGTCCAGTGTTCCATCTGAGAGTGTCCCCCCCATCCCGGGCAGTGGAGGGCAGGCCTGTGTGTCTCCTCCATCCTCCCTCATGATCTTTGAGTCCAAACTAGAAAGCAGAAAGATTCCCCCCACCCCCCAATCCAGGGTATCATCTGAAAGAGATTAAGAAACAAAAACAAGCCTCAAATTCCCGCTGATCGCCTCTGGAGGGATTAGATGGGAATGCTCTCTGCCTCGTGATGCCACGGCTGCCCCTGCCTCCAACCTTTCTGCTCAGATTCTCCCCTTCATAGCCAGACAGGGCCTCCTGGAGCAGGAGCAGGAGGAGCAGCAGCACAGGGGCGGGGTCAGGAAGCCCCGCCCACCCCATAAACAGGCTGTTAGCCACGCCCCTGCCACGCTAACCTAGTTTGCTAGCCCCGCCCTCCGCCTATTATAACCCAGCTTGTTAGCCACGCCCCCACTCAGGCTAACCCAGCTTGTGAGCCACGCCCCTCCTATCATAACCCAGCTTATTAGCCACGCCCCACTGAACCTAACTCAGCCTTGTTAGCCACGCCCCCACTCTGGCTAACCCAGCTTGTTAGCCACGCCCCACTCAGGCTAACCCAGCTTGTTAGCCACGCCCCTCCTATCATAACCCAGCTTATTAGCCACGCCCCACTGAGCCTAACCCAGCTTGTTAGCCCCGCCCCGCCATTCTAACCTGTCAGTAGGGGCTGGCAGGTGGTGAGGTGTCTGTCCCCAGCCCGGGCCACCAGCAGCCTGTGTCGTCTGTACTTCTCCACAAGCCCCGCCTCCCCCTGCTGTCACTGCTCACAACTGGCCCCTTGAACTCCTACTATGTGCTTTTCACAGGCAGAACGACTCCCCCCACCTCCCCCTCCCCTACGGAAGCCTGGAGGAGAGAGCGGGGCTCATGAGCCCCCCGGGACCTTTCCCTCTTTTCATTTTTCGGAGATAGTCTCTTGTTATCTCTCCCAAGCTGGACCCAGACAGAGATTCTCCCACCCCGGCTTTTCAAGGAGCTGGGCTGACGTAGGTGCACCGCCACACCTGGCCCGTGAGCTAGAAATTCTTGGAGAGCCATGGCTTGCTTGCGGTTTCTGCCCCAGACCTGGTATTAGTAGCTGCTCAGTGGGTGAGGGAGGGTTGTTCAAACGGGTTTCGTGTGAGCCCATTCACTGCCCACCTGACGATCCTCCTGCACCACGCAGCCATCCTCTGCCACTTTTCCCTTCGCATCCCGCCCACCACTCACCATCCATCGGCCCTGGGCAGACTGAGCCCTGGGACTTCCCGGCCTCTAATCCTCAGCCTCAGCTCAGAAGTCAGACGACCCGCACAAATCCCGTTCTGTGACCTGACACAAGTCTAGGACACACAGGCTGACTGAATGAGTAGATGAGCAAATGAATGAGTGAATGAGAGTGAATGTGTGAGTGGATATGAATGAATGAATGAGTGATGAGTCAATGAACCAGTGAGTGAATGAGTGCTGTGGAGTTTTGCTGGCTACTAGGACCACCTCATCTCAGCTCTGTTGTTTGATTGGCTATGGCTGTGACACGGTGAGCTCTGTCCCAGCCTGGCCTCTGCCCTGGGCCTCTACCATCCAGTGCTCCCCATGTGGGTGCCGTTGGGCCTGGAGGTCTCACTGAGGCACTGAGAAAGGGAGGAAGGCAGGTGGGCCCCTGTCCTCCCCTGCGCCATGCTCCACGCCCTTTTCAGAATGAGCAGAATCTCACCCATCCATCAGCCATGGAAATTCCTGTTTGTAGTGTCAGCCTGGAGCCCAGGCCTAGTGAACCCCAGCCACACACCGGCCCCAGGACATTTTCACAACCTCCACTAATGGCTGCTCCTCTCTCTTAGCTATGGGAGTGATGGGCATACTTTCTGTCTCTGTGGACTTTTCTCCAGTGGACCCCTGTTCCGAGGTCGCCACCCCGGCCTCCATCCAGGCTGCCCGTGGGGAGGTGGTGTGCGTTTATGGAGGATGATGGGCTCTGTTAGTGGCCACACACAAGCAGGGAGTCGGGAGAACCACTCCTGGGGTTCACTTTTACTGTGGCCACACCCTCCACATACCTCAGTTTCCCCTTCTGTCAGACACCTGTGGGAGGCCCGTGGCCTCTCTGGGGTAGTTCTGCTCTGGTGCTAGGACAGCAGCGGTGGCCATCGAGATGCAGGGGCTGAGATTTGAACCCAGGGGCATCTAAAAATCGCGCCATTAGGAAATCAAAGATGGCTCAGACATCCAGGGGACCCCTCTCCCATTTCCCGAGCCTAGGCCCCGCCTCTGCCAGGACATGGTGGATCCTGTCCGTCCGTGTGTGCTTCCATCTGACTGTCCTTCCTCCTGTGTCCGTAGACCTACTCGGGGCTGTTCTGCGTGGTGGTGAACCCCTACAAGCAGCTGCCCATCTACTCGGAGAAGATCGTGGACATGTACAAGGGCAAGAAGCGGCACGAGATGCCCCCCCACATCTACGCCATCGCCGACACGGCCTACAGGAGCATGCTGCAAGGTAGGCCCCTCCGCTGCCACCGCCGCATCCCAAGCGACCTCCCTGAATCCCTGCCAGGAATGCCAGCTTGGCAAGTGGTGCCGGGGACCCAGGGCTGTGACTGAAAAAGGAAGAAAAGCAAAGCCAGCGTCTGTGGGCAGCTGGAGGGAGAGGGGAGGGGGAGGGGGAGAGGCTGCCTGGGCAAATACGGGCAAAGCTCAGCTGCCCCCCCCCGCCTGCCCTCCTCCCGGCCTGCCCTCCCCCCAGCCATGCCAGCTGCCCAGGGAAGAAGAAGGAGGGAGAAGGGTTTCAGGAGCCATGTTGGCTCCCTCTGGAGCGTGGACGCATGTCTGTCCCTCTCCAGCCTGAGTGTCCTCATCTGCACAAAGATTATTCTTCATGCCCACTTGAAGACCTTTCATTTAATATTTTTGTTGGTTTTTCTTTTTTTGTCAGTCATGGGGCTTAGAAATGCTGTCCCTGAGCTTTTCTTTTGCTCAAGGCTGGAGCTCTACCTCTTGTACCACTGCTCCACTTCTGGCTTTGTGGTAGCTCATTAGAGACAGGAGTCTCACAGACTTTCTTGCCTGGGCTAGCTTCGAGCCGTGATCCTCTCAGTCTCCTGAGGAGCTAGGATTCCAGGCGTGAGCCACCAGTGCCCTGTTAGCCTGAAGATGTTTACGCGTTACCTTCACGCCCAGGTATGACAGCTTGAGGGTTGTCATACTTAAGCATAACATGGCTGGATGTGTTTCAGATTTCAAATTACGTTTTGATTTTTAGAACGTTGGAGTATATTGAGATATCTCGGGGATGGAACCCAAGTCCAAAGGGGAAAGTGATTTTAAGTTTTTCAAATCTGCCTTGCACCCATAGGTTGGAGGAAGTGTTGTGTAGTATTTTAAAAGTTGGGCATGGTGGGGTATACCTGTAATCCCAGCCCTTGGGATTACAGGAGGATCTCCAGTTGGAGGTCAGCTTGAGTCTCTGTCTCAGAAAAAAAGGGAATGGAATGGATTTTCTGCGATAAACTCAGTAGATGGGTAAAACGTGCCAATTTGAAGTACCCAGCTTAAAACTGATTTTTATGTGTCATGGTTGTAGACTAAGATGTGACATGTTTCTAGAAAGTTCCCTCTTCAAATTGCCCCCTCTTGCCCAGTCCTGGTGATTCCTATACCATCAGTCTAGCTTGTTGCTGAACTTGATACAAGTGACATCTTCATACAGTCTCCTCCATGTTTTTCTTAGAAGCTTCTCCCCCTCTACAGAGAAAGTACAGTCTAGCAGTGACTGCATTAGTTCAGGACATTGATTCTAGAACAGGGCGTCCTGTGTTCAAATCTGCCACTCATGGTGCTGTGCGGCCTTAGATGAGCCGTTGAACCTCTCTGTACCCATTGCTGCCTCTGGGGAAGAGAGCAGCCTGACTCTCAGGGCGTCTATGAGGATCACATGAAGTATTACATCGGCAGTGCTTAGTGGCAGGTGTGAGTGCCAGGTACTTACCAGCAAACAATTCACCCCCAAATCCCAAATGCACCAGGCCCCAGTGGCTCACGCCTCTCATCCCAGCTGCTGAGGAGGCTGGATCTGAAAATCGTGGTTCGAAGCCAGCCCTGGCAGGAAAGTCCATGAGACTCTTGTCTCCAATGAACCACCAGAAAACCAGAAGTGGCGCCGTGGCTCAAAGTGGTAGAGCGCTCGCCTTGAGCAAAAAAGCTCAGGGACAGCGCCCAGGTCCTGAGCTCAAGCCCCCAACTGACCACCCCCCCTCCAAAAAAAACCCCAAATGCTCTGAACCTTTTCGGTGTCACAGTTGGGAATTTCCACACCCTGAAGCAAGATTTTTTTTTTCTTGCACAAAATTATTGGAAACTGTGCACACAATGACTCTCAGACCATGCGCCTACGATGCGTTATGATGCAAGTAAAATCAGTGTGTAAATCTAGGTGGCAACCCCCGCCCCCCCACCCCCTGGGGCCTCGGGAAGTCTGTGTAAAGATTCCCAGATCTGAAAAACTGGGTGCTCTGACTCACTTCTGGTCCCAAGAATGCTCCTCCCATAACACACCGGCACTGGGCCCACACGTAACTCCAGGACACCCGGGGTCCGAGATCCTAGCTGGGAATTGCAGGAGCTCTGTGGGTGGGAAGCCCCATGTGCCAGCATAGAGGGGCGCAGCCAGAAGGGCCCAAGTGTCTGTGATCCCAATTCCAGACATGGCCTGCAATCCCTCTAAAGACCAGCAGGTGGCCCTTTGCAGGGCCTGCCATGAGATGCCCTGGGGCCCTGCTTTAGGCCCCCTGCTGTCCCTTTGTGATCTCCATGGCTGCCCTAGATGAAGGACTATTTAGGAGGTTGTTCGTGAGCCTCTTTAGGAAGCTGGGCATCATGCGGTTATGGTGTTTTGTTATTTGGCATGCGTTGCACTCACGGAAGTGTCTTGAACAATAGTTTATTACCACTGGGCACCGGTGGCTCACGCCTGTCATCCTAGCTACTCAGGAGGCTCAGCTCTGAGGATCTCGGTTCATAGCCAGCCTGGGCAGGAAAGTCGGGGAGATTCTTATCTCTAACAAACCACCAGAAAACCAGAAGTGGCGCTGTGGCTCAAGTGGTAGAGCTCTAGCCTTGAGCTGAAGAGCTCAGGGACAGCGCCCAGGTCCTGAGTTCAAGCTCTACAACTGACAAAAAGAAAAAAAAAAAAAAACTTAGATATCTTATTTTCTCCCCAATACTTTCTCTAGAAATGGCAGCATCCAGGTACACTAGTCTTCATTGTGCTAGAATGTTCCATGCCTCTGCAGACACATATTTCTTGCTCCCTTTTAAAATATCAGTGTTGATTTTTTTGTGTGTGTGTAAATGGTTTCCAGAGAAATCATTTGTCCAGGGTAGCCGTTATCAACTTCTGTGATTGATTTAGAGGTGTTAGCCTCTTTATCTTGATAGAGCCTGATTATATATTGCTGATAACTAAAAATATTTCCAGCTCTAGGCTTCACCTGTTAACTTTATTTTGTCGTGGGCCTGGGCGCTGTCCCTCAGCTCTTCAGCTCAAGGCGAGCGCTCTACCACTTGAGCCACAGCGCCACCTCCAGTTTTCTAGTGGTTTATTGGAGATAGGAGTCTCACAGTCTTCCCTGCCCGGGCTGGCTTTGAACTTCGATCCTCAGATCTCAGCCTCCTGAGTAGCTGGGATTACAGGTGTGAGCCACTGGTGTCTGGCTACACCTGTTAACTTTTATCTGTGGAAGATAGGGTTTGAGCTCATTCATCCCTTTATTTGCCTAGATCACCTGATCTCACAGATTCCCATGAACTTAATAAAGCTTTATTCTGAGTATTGGTACGAGCTTAGACGATTACAGCTGTGTCGCTGTTCTTCAGTGCTCATCTCTGTGCTGTCTTGTGATTACTTTTTCTTTGCCCGTGTGACTTACTATTTTCTCAAGTTATAGCAATAACCTCCCTGCCCCCCCAAACCTACTTCCTATGTTCTTCATTACTAATGCTGGCTTTCTAAATGACTTTCCTGTCTGAGCTGGAATCACGTGTCTCTAGATCTCAGCCTCCTGAGTGGCTGAGATTACAGAAGTGAGCACTGGTGCTTGGCTAGACTCATCTTTATTTTCCTGCCTACAGTGCTGGGACTTACCCCCGGGCTGTTTCCCGCATTGTTCTGGAGACTTAGTGAACCTTCGATGTTAGACAAATGCCTTCTTCATCATGAAGTTTGGGAAGAGTCTTTCCTTCATCATTTTCTTCTGCTCCCTTGTAGCAGAAGTCCTTACCCCCACAATGGAGCTCTTGAACTGAATCTGTAATTATTATTATTATCATCATCATCATCATCATTATTGGTTGTGGGGCCTGAACTCTGGGCCTGGGCGCTGTCCCTCAGCTCTTCAGCTCAAGGCTAGCGCTCTACCACTTGAGCCACAGCGCCACTTCCAGCTTTTTTCTTTTTGCTTATGTGGTGCTGAGGAATCGAACCCAGGGCCTCTGGCATGCAAGGCAAGCGCTCTACCACTGAGCCACCTTCCCAGCCCCTGTAACTGTTATTATAGCGGTGCTGTGCAGAGCCGTTCCCACCCTTCTTGCTTTAGGTTTGGGTGGTGGTGTTTGGGTTTTTTGTTTGTCTGGACAGGGTCTTGCAGGGCATGGACTATAATCTTCCCCTCTGCAGCTGGGATTATAGGCCTGCACCGCCACACCCGGCGTAGCGGCCCTACGTCCAGCTCTAAAGTGCGGCAGGCCAACCAAGATTTCATTTTTCTCCTAGTGTTTTCCTCTGTGGCTCTTACGCAACAGCAGGCGGTACAATTCCGAGTGCGCAGGCGTGCTCGCTGGGCAGAGACTGTGATGAGTCCCCCTTTACACCTGGGGAAACTGAGGCCCACGTAAACAGAAGGACGGGGCTACAGGTCAACGAACTGGATTTGAACTCGGTGTTGCTGGTGCCCACGTCTTGTCCTTCCCACCAGTGGGAGTGAGGTGCAGGCTGGCCGCCCCCCCCCGAAGCCCATTGGTTCTGACATCCGTGGGTGTTGAAAGCCCCGGGTTGGGGGGTGCTGTTTGCTGAGTGCTAGGTGAGGAGGTTGGGGGGTGCTGGTTGCTGAGTGATACGTGCGGAAGGCGTGTGTGGGCCGCAGATGAGCTGCAGGCACCCGCAGCGCTGGCCCGGCTATGTGCCCCGTCTTCCTGCATTTCTACCAACTGGCGGCTGGCGGCAGACAAGGAAACAGGTGCCCTGGGCTCCATGTTGAAGATAAGCCCGGGTAGTGGCATGATCCGGAGCCTTTTTCCGGGCTGTCTAGGTTTCCTTTGCTGGCTGGCAGCCTGCTTGACAGACGAGGCAGAGGCAAGGAAAAGCGGTCCCCAGGGCCTGGCCGCCCCAGCGCCCTGCAGGAGGCCGCCAGCCTCCCCGCTTCACAGATGGGGGAAACTGAGGCTCCTCCACCCAAGGAGTGCCAAACTGAGGGACACCACTGCCCGCCCTGTGGGCCTTTTCTCTCCCCTCTCGGGCTGTGTGGCACGAGGGCTCTACTAGAGAAACCGAGTCCTTGAAAAGCTAAGGACCAGCGCAGGCCTCCACGCTTCATCCATTCAGGCTGCTGCTAGAACCAAATGCCCCAGGCAGGCTGGCTCAGAAAGCTAGAAGGTTATTGCACAGATCTGGAGGATGGAAGTCCAAGGTCAAGGGGGCAGATCATGTCCTGGCTGGCGCAAAGATGGCGCCATCCGTGGAATCCTGTGGCAAAAGGCTATCTCCTAACACCATTACCTTGGGGAGGTGGTTTCCGTGCATAGAGGTGTGTGCATGCATGCACGCATACATATACACATGTGTGCATGTGCATATGTGCATCTACACACATGTGTGCAGTGTGCATCTGTGTGCACCTCATGTGCACACCTGTGTATGTGCATCACGTGTGCATCTACACGCTTGTGTGTACGCATGTGTGTGGTGCATCCTGGGCAGGCTCTGTGCCACTGAGCTCCATGCCTGTCCTGGGCTTAAAGGGATATTTTCATCACCCTCAGAGAAGTGTAGTTCTCATTCATAATCAGGAGTCTAGTTTCTGTAGACTTCAGTATTCTAGACAGTTCCTGTAAATGGAAACATGAGATGCAGCCTTGTGAGTGTGTGTGTGTGCCTGCATGCGTGCGTGCACACATGCGTGTGTGCCAGTCCCGAGGCTTGAACTCAGGGCCTGGGCGCTGTCCCCGGCTTCTGTGCGCAAGGCTAGCACTCTGCCACTTGAGCCACAGCACCACTTCTAACTTTTTTGGTTCATTAATTTGTGGTGAGAGTCTTGTGGACTTTTCTTCCCCAGCTGGCTTTGAACTATGACCCTTAGATAATGTTTTCAAGGTTCATGTATTTATATGAAAAGAATGTAAACTAAATATTCATTAAGAAATTGAATATGAATTTTTTTAAAAAAGAAATTGAATATGCTGGGCGCTGGTGGCTCACGCCTATCATCCTAGCTACTCAGGAGACTGAGATCTGAGGATCACGGTTCAAAGCCAGCCTGGGCAGGAAAATCCATGAGACTCTTATCTCCAATGAACCACCAGAAAACCCGAAGTAGCTGTGGCTCAAGTGGTAGAGCGCTCGCCTTGAGCTGAAGAGCTCAGGGACAGCGCCCAGGCCCAGAGTTCAAGCCCCACGACTGACAAAACTAAAAGTAGGTAGCTCAGGACATTTTTCTCTGCCATTTTCAGGCACAGGGTATGGGCCCCCTTGGCCAACCCTCTCCCTGCCTGTCCACAGGTGTCCATGTTGCTTTCTCCTGAGGACCCTGGGACCAAGAGCCAGGCCTGAGGCCCAGGGCTCTGTCTGCCTGTGGCCCTGGCTCCCTCCTGATTGAGCTTAAGCTTTAGGCTAGACCCCAGGTCTGACCTTGGGGCCTGGGTGCTGAGAACAGATGTTCCTCCAGCCACACCAGTGGCGCCAGAGTGTGGGTGCTTCCAAATGGGAGCCCCCAGGAGAAGCAAGTCCAGCCTCTCAGCTCAGCGCTGCGTTCTCTCTCCTTTCTGTCCACAGATCGCGAGGACCAGTCCATTCTGTGCACGTAAGTGGAGCTGCTGCACGCGGTTCTACAGGAGTCGGAGCCCATGGGATCTGCGGTGTGTTCACTGCTCTAAGGGTCCGTCCTCCTTCCCAGCGCAGAGTAGATGCTCATCAAACACCAGGAGCGATGTTCTCACACAGGCAGACAAACCTAAACACCAGCCACGCCCACCCACCATCCACCATCCATCCTTCCATACGCTCACCCGTACTTCATCCACCCATCCTTCCATTTATCCACCCATCCTTCCATCTATCCATTGGTCTGCCTCTTCATCTGTCCATCTATCCATCATTCTTTAAGTCATCTATCCATCTATTCATCCACCAACAAATCCATCCACCTACCTACCCATCCATCCATCCATCCATCATCCAATGCAGTCCATCCATCCCCAATCCAATCCATCCATCATCCAATCCAATCTATCCATCCACCCATCCATCCATCATCCAATGCAGTCCATCCATCCCCAATCCAATCCATCAATCCAATCCAATCTATCCATCCACCCATCCATCCATCATCCAATGCAGTCCATCCATCCCCAATCCAATCCATCAATCCAATCCATCCATCCATCCATCATCCAATCCAATCCATCCATCTCCAATCCATCAATCATCCAATCCAATCCAATCATCCATCTCCAATCCATCCATCCACCATCCAATCCAATCTATCCATCTATCTCCCATCCGTCCATCACCACGCCATCTATCCATTTGTCCATCTTCTTATCTACCAGTCCATCCTTCCATCCCTCCCTCTTCATCCTACCTCCCACCCACCCATCTGTCCATCCTTCTGTCCCTCAATTCACCCACCTACCAATTCATTTGTGTTCATCCATGGTTCCAGCCAGCCGGCCAGCCATTGGGCTGGGCTGAGGGTCAGGACAAGGCCGAGAGGCCACATCTGGCCATTTGGGGTCTCCCCAGGGGGCCAGAGCTGAGCACCAAGTTCCCAAGGATGGAACTAGAGGCTCTGACCTGGGCCACCTCTGCACCCCAGGATTCCAGGGTCAGAATAGCAGATAAGCCTGTCTCTGCCTGGCTCCGACACCCCCGGCCTGGCGCATGGGGTGTTTTCTTTGGCAAGGCCTCCGGGTGGTTTATTTTTATCAGAAAAACTTGGAAGTAACCCGCTGGGGAGAAGCAGCGATCCAGAGTTTGCACCCCACTCCTCACCATGGCAAAGCTGTGGGGGGAGGGAGGAGAGCGTGGGGAGAAGTAGGAAGATGGTGGCCGTTGCTGTGAGAATCCAGCGCTCCAGACTCGGTCTCAGGCCTCAGTCTCAGGACCAGCCATGTGCTTGGCTTCCCATAAGAGCTTCCCCTCCTCCCTTCCTCTCTGATCAGAACCCGGCTCGTTCATACTATAATGTACATGACTGAGTGGTTGATCCTTGCTGACATTTTTCCCAGAGCCTGTGAAGGCCAGGGAGGATTTTGATGGAGGTAGAGCTGGAACGGCCCTCAGCCTTTCTCCTTACGCTATGAATCAGAATGAATTAGCAGACAGTGGCAGGACCTGAGTTCAAATCTTGCTCTTTCCCTACGTCTAATCTGTAGCTTAGCAGAGACAACTGTGGGACCTGGAGAAAGGACTTGGGCCTCTCCAAGCCTCAGTGTCCCCTGGTGGGCGATGAGAATGAGCAGCTGTTTCGTTCCTAGCTGGGATAGCTTGGGGAGCTGCCTGCCAGCGGGGCCGGGCACAGGGAGATGTTCCATTCCTAGAAGTTCGTGCCCTGGAATTGGACCCGACTCTGAGTTCTCCTTGTGTGTCCCTGCCTTGCTGTGTGACCCAGGGCAAGTGGCTTACCCACGCTGGGCTGGACTTGCTTCTGACCTAACACGGAGCCCATCAGGCCCGTGTCCGGGGAGGGGGCTCGGGAGCAGCAGCGAGCCGAGGTTTCCAGGACGGCGGGACCGGGTGGATCTGGCCTGCGAGTGGGAACACGTGTTTCTTTTCTTCTTTCTTCTCTTCCCAACATGAGCAAAGTTATCAAGGGGAGCTTGGCAGAGGAAGCGAGCTTCTCCGTTTCCTAATTAGGAAGAAGAATCGAGGCTGGGCTGGCTCTGGGAGCCCCGGTTCGGCACGGGGGAAGCTTGAGCCGACCTTGGAGCGGAGCGGGGGAGGGGGTGTGCATCCTTCCACAGACTTAGAAAAAGACCTAGAATGTTCCAGTGCGCTCAGAGCATGGGGGAGTTTAGGCAAGGGCAGGACAAGCAGTCAGTGGGAGGAGGAGACAGGGGCGGGAAAGCTGGGGCCAGGAGAAATCGGGGAGCCCCTGGATGGACTGGCCCCTCCATGGTGGTCCCGCATTACAAACGGGTCACCAGAGCCACCCCAGAAAACCCACATCTCCCTCATGGTCTGGATGGATTTTGGTTTTGGTTTTTGGGTGGTCGTGGGGCTTGAACTCTGGGCCCAGGCGCTGTCCCTGAGCTCTTCAGCTCAAAGCGAGTGCTCTACCACTTGAGCCACAGCGCCACTGCTGCTTTTCTGGTTGTTCCTTGGAGACAAGAGTCTCACAGGACTTTCCTGCCCTAACTGTCTTTGAACCTCGATCCTCAGATCTCAGCCTCCTGAGTAGCTGGGATGACAGGCGTGAGCCACTGTGCCCAGTGACTTTTTAACTTAAAAACATCCCTGTTGATCAGACGATTCTAGCCAGGTGTGGTAGCATGCACCTGTAATCCCAGCACTCAGGGAGGCGGAGACAGGAGGATGTGGAGTTCCAGGGCAGCCTGGGCCACACAGCCAGACCCTGCCACAAACAACTGAATTCCAAGCACACTTCAGCCCTTGCTAGCCAAGATCCGGGCATTTTTTGTTGCTGATGTTTGATCTTTTGCGAGGTATTGCACACCTGCTTGGGTGTTAGCAGGGGTGTTAGGGGGCAAGTCGTGCCCTCTGCAGGCCTCAGTTTCCCAGGGGTGTGTCTGGGATGGCCATGGTCAGCCTGCACGCTTGGTGCCCTGGGCAGGGCCGAGGCCTGGGCAGGCCCTTTTCCCCTTGGCCACCAGGCTGCTCGTGTCTTCCAGAGGTGAGTCTGGAGCCGGCAAGACGGAGAACACCAAGAAGGTGATCCAGTACCTGGCAGTGGTGGCCTCGTCTCACAAGGGCAAGAAGGACACCAGCATCACGGTGAGCGGGGGCCTGGGGGGCCCGGGGCGTGGGGCTCGGGGTCCTGTGCGGCCTGGCAGTGGTGCTGACCGGATAGCCCGTGGGCGGCAGTCCTGTGGTGGTGACCACGCATGTCCACAGACACGGGGGCGCAGCTAGGCCCTCGGAGACCCGGCCTCCAGGAGGGAGGCTGTGGGGGCCACTTTGGGGGTGCGAGGGCGTCCTGGAGCAGACCCAGCCCCCGCAGAGCCGCCCGAGGGCTCCCTGAAACCCTGCTCCCCCCCCGCCACCACGTCGGGGTCCTGCTGACCAGAGAACGGGGCCGAAAGGGACCCCAGGCCCTGCCATGCCTCCGGCGGAAGGCGTAGGCACAGAACCACGGCAGAGTGGCAGGGGCCCATGCGTGACCGTGGCGGTCATCCCCCCACCCTCCACACACCTGCCTTTCTCCATCTGGCAGAGGTGGGGTGGTGGCAGGGCGGCCAGGGCGGCTCAGGTTCCCGGAGACCTGGCGTGGGGCCGACACAGCGTCAGGATTTTCCTTTCTCAAACCCAGGAAGCAAGGCCCGGCCCGGCCTGGCCAAGTATCTCTGGCCACTTGGCTCCTAGCCAGCGTGTAGGGGAGAGATGGCCTTGAACTTGATGCAGCAGGGAAAAGACCCTGCTGGCCGCCTGTTCCTACAGAGTAAAAACCAGGGGTCCTCTGTCCCAAGTGTCACCTCTGCTCCCAAATAGTTTCTCCCTGACCACAGGTCAGGTGTGGTAGTGCATGCCTGTAATTCCAGCGACCTGGGAGGCAGAGGTAGGAGGATCGTGATCCGAGGCCAGCCCTGAGTGAGTCCAAGTGTCAGACCTTATCTGAGAAATAACTATAAAGCCGTAAGGAGTTGGGGGGAATAGCCTAAGGGGTCGAGCACCTGCCTGGCAAGTGTGAGGTCCTGTGTTCAAATCCCAGTACCTCACGCACACATCCACCTTGGCAGTTACAGGAAACCTTCCCCGTGTATCTGAGAAAGGAGGCCAGGAAGGAAGGCGGGCAGAGAGGCAGGATGCAGTGTTGAGTGGCTGCTGTCAATCTGGGGGCGCCCAGGCCGATGGGGGGGGGGCAGGGAGAGGGGGTGTTTGTGAGCTCAGACCCGGGCGGACGTATGTGACCGAAATAACGCTGACATTTGTTCCTCACCGAATGGTGCGACCACAGCAAGGCCCGTCCTTTGCCTACGTGAGTAACGGCGTGTTCTGTGGCGTGACGGGCGGCACGGCGTGGAGTTAGACCCGCATGCTTCGCTGCACCCGTGGGCGCCCCTGACCGAACCGATCCCACAGCCCCCCCCAGCGCCAGGGCGCCATGTGGGGGTCCACCCGCCACCCATGGACCCCCCCCGGCTCCCGTTTAGGATCCCCAGTTCAGAGTGGACCCCGAACTCCTCCCCCCGAGCGCACCCCTGCTCCCCAGGCGCAGGGCCCTGGAGCGGTTCCCCCGTGTCTGGTTGACAGCCTTGCAGGTGGTTTTGTGTGGTTCAGGCGCGCTAGGCCCCGCCTCCCGGCTTGATTGACAGCATGGCTCCGCCCACCCCTGCACGTGTGTTCCTGTGCATGCGTGTGCAGTGCCGTCCGCGCGTGTCCTCTGCATGCCGATGCTTGGCCCGGGGCTCCGGGGTCTGCCGAGGCCCTGGCTCGGGTGGCTTCGTGAGGCCCCCGGCCGGGCCAGGCCGGGCCCTGCGGGCTAACGCAGAAGCTTGGGGGGGGTGGGCCGGGCGTCTCGGGTGGACGCTGGGCCAGAGCCGCCACCGTGTGGCGGGTCACTGCTGCGGGCCACGGTCTCATCTGTGATATGAGGTCTCCATGGGTGACCCCCCCCCTCCCCGGAGGGCCTCGACACCCTCCCGCCAGCATCCTGGTTCCAGATCGGAGGATTGGGGAGGGTGTAGGCATTGGAACCCCAAGTTTGTCTGGACGGAGACAGCGACTTTAGTCCGTGGTCCGTCCTGGGTGGTTCCGGGTGGGGTGTGGTTTCCATGGAGACAAGGCCTGGGTTCCATCTGGCTGTGGGATCCCCCCCCAGAAGACGCAGAAATCAGTGGTCACTTCCGGCCCCGGGCCGGGGTCTGCCTGCGGCTGCCGCTTCTCCATGTCCGCCACCCCTCCTCCAGTTCTGGGGCGCTGCCTGGGCTGTCAGGGAGGAGGAGGAGAACCCCGAGAGGCCATCCTGCCCCAGAATGCAGCGGGGGGGGGGGGCGCCCGCTGGGGCCTCGGGCCGGGCCGGGCAGGGCGGCTTGGCGGCCTTCGGCATGACTTTCCTGCCCCGGCAGCTCTCGTGGCCTGCCGTGGGCCCGGGCTGCCTCTAACCCGCTTGAGGAGCTGCTTCATGCCGCAGGGCCCCCCCAAATCATCCCTGCCGGGGCTCCCCATCTTCCACAGGAGGCCTGAGGTGTTGAGGGAGACTCCGGCTCCAGCGGGCCGGGCCGCCGGGTGCGCACTGCGCAGCTGCAGGGCTCTGCGTGTGCGCGCGCACGCGTGCGTGCGTGCGTGTGTGCGTGCGTGGTCCAGGGCTCAGGACACCTGGACGCCTGGATCGAGGAGAGGGTGGCGGGCGGGAGTGCGCCTGCGCGCCAGGGCCCCCGGTCAGCCCCGCCCACCGTGCTTGGCCTTGTAGGGGGAGCTGGAGAAGCAGCTGCTGCAGGCCAACCCCATCCTGGAGGCGTTCGGCAACGCCAAAACCGTCAAGAACGACAACTCCTCCCGATTCGTAAGTAGCCGGCCGTGTGTGGTCATCACCCCCCAACCCCTGCAGCTGTCACGATGGGGGGGGGTCCCTCTTGGGGGACTTGAACTCTGGGCCTGGGCGCTGTCCCTCAGCTCTTCAGCTCAAGGCGGGTGCTCTACCGCTTGAGCCACAGCGCCACTTCCAGTTTTCTAGTGGTTTATTGGAGATCAGAGTCTCACAGACTTCCCTGCCCAGGCTGGCTTTGAACCGCGATCCTCAGATCTCAGCCTCCTGAGTCGCTAGGATGACAGGCCTGAGCCACCACTTGGGTACAAGGTCATTGCAGGAGCTGAAGGTCATGGACCCGCTCCAGGGGGGCACAGGGTCCCCGGCCTCTAACCAGCTCTTTGCAGAGAACTGGGGAGGGGGGGCTCTGAGCATTTGCACGAGTCCCTGCCCCCCCACTGCCCCCCCTGGGGCCCCTACATCCCCCCCTCCCCCTGCTGGGGACCTGCAGCTGGGGATGAAGCCCGAGCTGCCTGAACACGGCTTCCTCCCGCAGGGCAAATTCATCCGCATCAACTTCGACGTCACTGGCTACATCGTGGGCGCCAACATCGAGACCTGTATCCCTCAGCCGGCCGCCCGCGTGGGGCCGCGCCCCCGGCTGGGTCCACGCAGTGCCACAGGGTGGCAGATATCTCTCCCTGACCTCTAAAGCTGGCCCGGGGTGGACGGTAGACAGGAGGCCATGGCGCCCGCCTCAGAAGCCACCGTAGGCCTCATCCTGGGGGCACATGGCTCCTGTCTCCTTCTGGTTTTGGGGGGCATCCAGGAGGGGTACCCTGTGGCCCTATGTGTCCTCAGGAACCTTGGGCAGAGGACAAGAAGTGGGTAGTACGTGGGGGTCAAAGGCCAAGCCTCTCCCCGCAGCCCTCCTGCCCCCCCCCAATGTTTGATGATGTCTGTGGGCCGGATGCAGAAGTGATGGTTCTAGAATCCTTAACACTTGCACCCCAGACCTGCTGGAGAAGTCGCGTGCCATCCGCCAGGCCCGGGACGAGAGGACCTTCCACATCTTCTACTACATGATCGCGGGGGCCAAGGACAAGATGAAGAGTGAGTGGTGGGGGGTGTGGGGGGGTGCGTGCGCCTCCGTGACCCTGAGCCGCGGGTAGACCCACGAGGTCACAGCCTGACTCCTGGGGGCCTGGGGCTGAGCAGCTTGGGGGACGGTGGAGTAAGGGGGCGCATGCGCGGGGCCTGCAAGTGACTGGGAACCGGACTTTGTAAGACCAGGTCAAGAAGCGCTTCCTCCCTCCTCCCTCTGCCCACCCCTTCCCCCACCTCCTCCCTCCCTCCCCAACCCTCCTCCTTTCCTCCCTCCTCCCATCCCTCCTCCCTTCCTTCCTCCCCAGCCCTCCTCCCTTCCCATTTCTCCCTCTCCCTCCTCCCTTTTTCCTCCTCCCTGTGTGTACCTGTGAGGTGTGTTCTAGAATGTGCGAGGAGGGGTTTGGTGCACACAGCCAGGGAGCCGTGGTTGTGGTTTTCACCACCGCGCTGAAGGGGGTGGTAAAATCCTGGCAGTGTAGGCAAAGGTCTGGGTCGGGAGGGGAACGGGATGTAGAATGCTGTTCCAGCTGAGCGCTGGCGGCTCACGCCTCCTACTTATAGTCCCAATGAGCCACTAAACAAGCTGGCCATGGGGGCTGGGAAGGTGGCTCAGTGGTAGAGTGCTTGCCTCGCATGCATGAGGCCCTGGGTTCGATTCCTCAGCACCACATAACCAGGAAAGGCGCTGTGGCTCAAGGGGTAGAGCGCTAGCCTTGAGCTGAAGAGCTGAGGGACAGCGCCCAGGCCCAGAGTTCAGGCCCCACGACCAACAAAAAAATAGTTGGCCATGGGACTGTGGCTCAAGGGGTAGAGCACCAGCCTTGGGTGAGGAAAGCCGGTGCCAGCGAGCGCCCTGGAAGCCTGCGTGGGTTTTGTTTTGTTAAGGGACACATGGCGAGCGGCTGGGCTTAGGACAGCGAGGCTGCAGGCAGCTTTGTTTCAGGGGGCCAGTTCATGGGGAATGCGAGAATAAACGCACCCTGCTTCTGGGTGGACCCGACCCTGTGCCGGGGCTCGGGGCTCAGCCGGGGAGCCGGGCACTGGTGGCAGCAGGGCCCAGCCCGCACCGCACATCAGCTGCCGGCGACCCTGCACGCCGCAGCAGAGGACGGTTCAAAACCAGCCAGAGGCCGGGCGCCGGCGGCTCACGCCTGGCATCCTAGCTACTCAGGAGATCTGAGGATCGTGGTTCAAAGCCAGCCCAGGCAGGAAAGTCCGTGAGACTCTTATCTCCAATAAACCACTCAGAAAACCAGACTGGCGCTGTGGCTCAAGTGGTAGAGCGCTCGCCTTGAGCTGAAGAGCTCAGCGGCAGTGCCCAGAGTTCAAGACCCATGACCGACCAAAAAACAAACAGCCAGACCCTGGGATGGGACCGAGGTGACAGTGACCTGGGCCCCCAGCCCGGCCTGAGGGAGCCATGTGCTGACCCCCCCCCCCAGATGACCTGCTGCTGGAGGGCTTCAGCAACTACACGTTCCTCTCCAACGGCTTCGTGCCCATCCCCGCCGCCCAGGACGACGAGATGTTCCAGGAGACCCTGGAGGCCATGTCCATCATGGGTTTCAGCGAGGAGGAGCAGCTGGGTGAGCGCTCCCCTGCGCGTGCTCCCCCCCCCGCGCGCGGGCCCACCCCCCTGCGCGTGCTCGCCCCCCCTGCGCATGCTCGCCCCCCCTGCGCGTGCTCGGCCCCTGCACGTGCTCGCATGGAGTGGGAGAAATGTGGGCCCCGTGGAAATGCTTAGCAGATATTTAAACTGGAGAAGTCGGCCGGGCGCCTTGGCTCCTGCCTGTCATCCCAGCACTTGGCAGGAGGGTCGAGAGTTCAAGGCTAGTCTGGGCTAACTAGGCCCTCACTCAGAAATAACCAAAACCACCATAGTCAGGAAGCCGGGGGGCACAGCAAGGGGTTAAGTGCTGTTCCACTATCGGCATCCAACAGCACTGCAAGGAGACCCTCGGTAGCTGCCGTTTGCGTGCGAGGCGACAAAGGCACAGAGCAGTCAGACAGGCACCCCGGGACACACAGCCAGTTGTTGGTAGAGCAGGGACTAGGTCTCGGGCCTCTAGGAGGCCCACGCCCCTGACTTTGCCTGTGGGAAGACAGGTTCTGCTCTTTAAAATCCTTGAATCATGTCTGTCAGGGCCCAAGTGGGAAGCGAGCTTAGACACAGCCTGGGTCTAAACGTGGGGGGCTGCGGGGGGCTGGTTGTGGTCATGCAGTTTTGCCCCGGTCGCAGGCAGATGGCCCAGGAGGGTATGGAACTGCATGGGTGTCATGGTGTGTCAATAAAACTTTATTTGTAACGGCAGCTAGTGGGCTGTGCTCGGTGGGCAGGCTAGGGCTTACTTCTCCCCGGCGGCATAGTACTCCATGTAACACAAGGTCATCAGCAACTACCAGAAAACACTGAGTGTCCCTCGCCGGTGCTCGCCCCGCGGATTTACACCTCCCGTTCCAGGCAGCTCCGCTTGATGCGGCGTCTTTCCTTCTCTCCTCAGCCATATTGAAGGTGGTGTCCTCTGTCCTGCAGCTGGGCAACATCGTCTTCAAGAAGGAGAGAAACACCGACCAGGCGTCCATGCCTGACAACACAGGTGGGTGGAGCCAGGGGCTTCGGGGACAGGGACGTGGCGGGGGGGGCTGGTCCAGCTGGGGTCCGTGGCAAGCAAAGAGCTTGCACACATACGCACACGCTGCTGGCCCCATATACAGTCCTGGGCCAGCGGCAGCATCGGGCTGCCCGGAACCCGTGTCCTGGGGATGAATGAAGGGGCTGGACTGCGTTTCTGGGAGGAGGTAGCGGGCACGGGGGCTTGGTCAGCGGCCGGACACTGTCCTTACTGCCTCTCGCTCTCTTTGCAAACTTTTCCCAGTGAAGTTTTGAGTCGATGTTTTGCTTTTCTATGTGTCTGTGCATGCGCATGCCAATTCTGGAGCTTGAACGCAGGGCCTGGGCACTGTCCCTGAGCTGTGCTCCAGGCTGGTGCTCTGCCACTCTGAGCCACAGCTCCACTTCTGGCCTCTCTGGTAATAAATTGGAGATCAGAGTCTCACAGACTTTCCTGCCTGGGCTGGCCTTGAACTGCCATCCTCAGATCTTAGCCTCCTGCATGGCTAGGATGACGGGTGGGAGCTACTGGCGCCCGGCCTTTACAACAAACAAAAAAGTGTTCTCAGTTTATTCAAGATTCACATTTAACTGGACTTGGATTTTTGTCCCCCTAAATGTGAGCGTGCTACCTGTGAATAAACAGGCAGGGTTTGGGGTTTGGGGATGGATTGGCTGCTTTCAGCCACACCCCAACCCCCCCTTCCACCTGGGAGAGGCCCTGCTTTGTATCTTGGGGCCTGAACAGCTGCTCACCCCACCCCAGGCTCACCCCACCTCAGCCTTTCTTGCATATTAACTCCACATGCTGCCAGAGACCTTCCGTAATGAGAACTATAAGCCAGGCGCCAGTGGCTCACGCCTGTCATCCTAGCTACTCAGGAGGCTGAGATCTGAGGATTGCGGTTCAAAGCCAGCCCAGGCAGGAAGAGTCTGTGAGACTCTTATCTCCAATGACCCACCAGAAAACTAGAAGTGGTGCTGTGGCTCAAAGTGGACAGAGCCCCCAGGCCCTGAGTTCAAGCTCACAACCGCCCCCCGCGACCTTCCCCACCCCCCAAAAAAAGATGCCATGTAATGGATGGAGGAAATCTGTTTACTGTCTCCCTGTGCTGAACAGACTGTAATGAAGCACTCATTTCTATGCTGAGGTCACAGGACGTGAGTGTGTGTGTGTGTGTGTGTGTGCATGTGCGTGCGTGCGTGCATGTGTGTGTGTGTGTGTGTGTGACTGAGGTTTGAAGTCAGAGGCTTGTGCCTGGCAGGCAGGTGCTCCGCCCCGAGCCACGCCCCCCAGCCGTTCGCTTTCCTCATTTTTGGGAATAGTGTCTGGCTTTCCGCCCGTGTCAGCCTGTGCACGCCGCACCCACCCAGCGAGGGTGACGCGGCCACGCCACTGTGGTTGAGATGGGGGTCTCACCAGCGTGTTGCCTGGGCTAGCACAGAACCGGACCCTCCCGGTCCACCCCCCCCGAGTAGCTGGGGTGGCAGGGGTGCGCCACGGGGCCCGGGGAGCAAGTTCCTCCTGCGGAGGTGTGCGTGGCGCTGTGAGCTGCCCAACACACAGGCTCCAGAGCTGGCGCTTGTGGCTGCGCTTTCTTTCTTGGTCTTGGGCGGTTAGTAAGGCCGTGCAGGTGAACACCCCGCTGCCCTCTCCCCCGGGGGGCTGTGGGGCTCTTGGGTGCTGCTCCCCCTGGGCTGCTGGCACATGCAAAGTGCAGAGACACTCTGGGGGGAGCTGTCCTTCACCAGCTGGCGCTGCTGCCATCTCTCCATCAGCGTGACAGCAGCAGTGTCCCCAGACAGGGGCCTCTGTCCCCCTCCCCCTGGGGACAGTCAGCACCGGGGGGGGGGACAGATGGGAAGGGGGAGGGACCCTAAGCCCCCTCGGGAATCCCCCCAGCGGACCCCAGCACTGACTCTTAGCACCAGGAAGGGGGACCATACAGCCGGCCACTGGGCTCTGCTTCTGCGAGAGCAAGCCTGCACGCACCGACCGTGGAGGGCCGCGGGGGGGCGCTCTCCCCTGACGCTCACAGAGCTCTCGCGCGCTCTCATCCAGCTGCACAGAAAGTGTGCCACCTCGCCGGGATTAATGTGACCGACTTCACCAGAGCCATCCTGACCCCACGCATCAAAGTTGGACGGGATGTGGTGCAGAAAGCTCAGACGAAAGAGCAGGTATAACCAGCACTGGCTCTTCTCATCCATCTACTACCCATCCATCTGCCCATCCATCCACCTACCCATCCATCCAACCAACCATCTACTACCCATCCATCCATCCATCCAACCATCCATCCAACCATCTGCCTACCCATCCATCCATCCACCTACCCACCCATCCTCCCATCCATCCACCTACCCACCCATCCTTCCATCCATCCAACCATCTGCCTACCCATCCATCCATCCACCTACCCACCCATCCTCCCATCCATCCACCTACCCATCCATCCTTCCATCCATCCATCCACTCATCATCTGTCCATCCATTCATCCTTCCATCACCCACACATCTCTCCATTATCCATCCATCCACCTTCCTACCTATCCATTCATCCATCTCCACCCGACAGTAGACTATTCAGAGTCCCATGTCAGATTCTGAGGATTTGGTGGTAAATGAGAACGGCAGCGTCGCTTACTCATGACCTCTGACCTCCTAACTGAAGGCAGGAGCCTTGCTGTGGAAATGCTCGGGTGTCTCTGCGTGTCCCCGGAAGGTCTCCCACTCTTCCCGCAGGCTTCCTGCCCACTGGATCACGGCCCCTTCCTTTTCCTGCTTTAAAGGGCTGATAAAAGGCAGTGGGGGACTCACAAGTCTGCGCCCCCAGCCCTGGTGTTGGGGAAGTGCAGGCCTCGGGTGATAGCGTGTCCCCCTGCGCCCCCTGCAGGCCGACTTCGCCATCGAGGCCTTGGCCAAGGCCACCTACGAGCGGCTTTTCCGCTGGATACTCACCCGCGTGAACAAAGCCCTGGACAAGACCCATCGGCAGGGGGCGTCCTTCCTGGGGATCCTGGACATTGCTGGATTTGAGATCTTCGAGGTACAGTGTGGTGGGACTGTGGCAGCCATGTCTCAGTCCCCGGGGGCCGCGACTTTCCCATGAAGAAATGATTATTTTGGAGAGGAAGGCCACTGGAGGAGATATAGCTGTTTAGTGAAGACAGAAGCTTGGGGCTATACGAGACAGAAAGCCAAGGGGGGTTTGCTGGTTTGTACAGTGGAGTAACCGGAGTACAGCTGCATCCGCTAGGCAGGGCCTGCCTGCCTGCCATCCTGGCTTCCATTCTCCAGCAGGTTCCCTCCTCATGGTGGCAAGATGGCTGCCACAGCTCCATGCAATCTTCTCTCAGCAACTAGAGCAGAGAGGAAGACATCCCATTTCCAATTTCTGAGTTCCAATGATTGCCCTCCAGCCAGGCACTGTTTTCAGACCCAGTGAAGGATTTCACATGGTGTGGACATCGTTGCTGGAGGCAGTTCAGAGGAAGGGGGAGGGGGAGGATGGGAGGGAGAGATAGAGAAAGAGAGAGAGGTATCTTTTAAGGTTTAAAGATACACAGGAGACATCTGCTACAGACAGTCTGAGCCTCAGTTTCCCCAGCTGTAAGGTGATGAGTCCATGCCTCTGTGGCGGCCGTAGATGAATGTCGCAGGGAGGAGTGATAAGCCTCCTCAAACCACGCGGCACAGGTTGTCGCCTGTGCTAACCCCAGGGTCTCTGTGGGTGCTGAGTGGCAGGGACGAGGTCTCTCGAGGGGGCGGGGGAGGGGCGCCGCCCTCTGACGTCACCGCCCTCCCCCCCACGCGCAGGTGAACTCCTTCGAGCAGCTGTGCATCAACTACACCAACGAGAAGCTGCAGCAGCTGTTCAACCACACCATGTTCATCCTGGAGCAGGAGGAGTACCAGCGCGAGGGCATCGAGTGGAACTTCATCGACTTCGGCCTGGACCTGCAGCCCTGCATCGAGCTCATCGAGCGCCCGGTGAGGGGCCCGCCCGCTCCCCTAGGCCTCAGGCCATGCTTTGCTCTGGGGCATGCTAGTAAAGGCCCCGGGAGGTAAGGATGCTCTGTGAGACCCGGACAGCAGGGGGCGATAGAGGACATGTCTTTTACGGTGCTGGCCTCCTATTGGCCAGGGGGTAATTGTTGGATGGATTGGGAGGAGGAGGCTGAAATCCATCCTGAGAGCTGGGCGCCTATAGACATGGATGGGGGGGTTAGGGGTGGGGTGGGGGGGTGCCTTGCTCTCCCTGGCGAGCTGGGGCAACCCCACACCTAACTGGCCCCGCCCACCTCGGTGTCCGTCCTCAGAACAACCCTCCGGGCGTGCTGGCCCTGCTGGATGAGGAGTGCTGGTTCCCCAAAGCCACAGACAAGTCCTTCGTGGAGAAGCTGTGTTCCGAGCAGGGCAACCACCCCAAGTTCCAGAAGCCCAAACAACTCAAGGACAAGACGGAATTCTCCATCATCCACTACGCGGGGAAGGTGTGAGGGCGGGGCCGGGGCTCGCTCCCTCCTGGGGTGAGGGGCCCAGGCAGACCCCACACAGCCCCCCTAGCCATGTAGCAAATCAGATCCCAACCCTATCCCAAATATGGCCTCCACGCGTGTAACTTCTCTTTAGGTCTCATTGTGGCTGCCAGACTGGCGGACCAGCCCTGGGGTTTAACAAAAATCCGGGGTTAGGGATGTGGCTCAGTGGTAGAGCGCTCGCCTAGCATGCATGAAGCCCTGGGTTCGATTCCTCAGCACCACAAACACAGAAAAAGCCGGAAGTGGTGCTGTGGCTCAAGTGGTTGAGTGCTAGCCTTGAGCAAAAGTTCAGGGACAGTGCTCAGGCCCTGAGTTCAAGCACTAGGACTGGCCAAAACCCCCAAAACTCTGCCATTGCCGGCAGGCTCCAGCGAGGGGGCCTGTGGGAGACGCAGCCCCGTTGCTGTCCTCACCCTCATTGTCACGTCGTGGCTGCCCGTGTGCAAACCTTGGCTTAGGGCTCCTAGGTAGGCCTAGCCATTGCCCTAACAACCAACATCCCATAATCCAGCCCCCTTCCTGAGCTGTACTTGCTGCTGTCCTACTGTGTGCAGGGCCAGTCTTTCTTGGTGTATGGGTCGGCCCAACCTGGCAGCCACGATGTCACTTCCTGGGCCAGCTCAGAAGCCCCGGGAGGGAGATGGGAGGACTCGGGCTGCGTTCACCTCACCTGCGCGCTGCTCCTCGGCAGGTGGACTACAACGCGAGCGCCTGGCTGACGAAGAACATGGACCCCCTGAACGACAACGTGACCTCCCTGCTCAACGCCTCCTCGGACAAGTTTGTGGCCGACCTGTGGAAGGACGGTGAGTCCGCAGGCGGTGGAAATCTGGAGATGGTGGTCAGAGCAGCCTGGGGCCGGCAGCTCTGTGAGACTCTCATCTGGCTCCAGGCCTGGGCGGCAGGAGCGGGATTCACTCCTGGGCCCTGATGATGCGAACGCGGCTCGGGCGATCTCGGGCTACCTCCAAGATGAGGCTGCTCACGGCCCATCCCCCCCGGCCCTGCCCAGCCTTGTCCCCTGCTGGCATTGGTCAGCAGAAGAGAGCAGAGGGGGGGCAGGCAACTTGGGGGTCCCCTGGAGGCTATGTCCTCGCCCACCACCCTCCTATCTGGGTCCTCTGGCCGGGGGTAGGGGTGCAGGTCCCCGGTCAGGGCAGAGACCGGAGGCGAACACCGCCTCTTCCCCGTGCCCACAGTGGACCGCATCGTGGGCCTGGACCAGATGGCCAAGATGACCGAGAGCTCCCTGCCCAGCGCCTCCAAGACGAAGAAGGGCATGTTCCGCACGGTGGGCCAGCTGTACAAGGAGCAGCTGGGCAAGCTGATGACCACGCTGCGCAACACCACGCCCAACTTCGTGCGCTGCATCATCCCCAACCACGAGAAGCGGGTGAGCCCCGCGCGGCCACCAGGGGGCGCCCTCGGGGGAGGGAGCTAGCAGGGGAGAGGGGCCTGCCCCCCCCCCGCCCACTCCAAGAGCCTCAGCTGCCGTGGGTGGAAAGATGCCACGGAAGGAGGGGGACTCTGGTGATGACGACCACGGAGGGGGGGAGGGGAGGAGAGGTGGGAGGGAAGGGCTGTAGAATGGATGATGGGCAGGGAGGGAAGGCGGAGAGAGCGAAGCAGCAGCCCTGGGTGCTATCCAGGGGATGCTAATGTACCAAGTCTGTCGACAGCAAAGGACAAATAGCGCCAAAGAAAGCCAGGCGTGGTAGCCCAGACCTGTAATCACAGGACTTGGGAGGCTGGAGCAGGAGGATCGAAAGTTGGAGGCCAGCCTGGACTACGCAGTGAGACTTTGTCTCAAATATATAATTTTTAAAAAGTGGAGGATGGGCCGCGGTGCAGTGGCTCATGCCTGCCTTCCTAGCTACTCAGGAGGCTGAGATCTGAGAATCACAGCTCGAAACCAGCCTGGGCAGAGAAGTCCCCGTGAGACTCTTACCTCCAGCGAACCACTCAAAAACCCGAAGTGGTGCCGTGGCTCAAAGTGGTAGAGTGCTAGCTCAGGGACAGCGCCTAGGCCCTGAGTTCAAGCCCCACGACCCACGGAAAGGGATGGGAAACCAGACCCCAAGCTGAGTCCTGTGTGGGGGCCCCCCCTGGCCCCGCCGGGCCGGGCCTGGCCCGGTGAATGGGGCTGGGGCTGATGGCTCCGGGCGCGGTGGTCACGGCCGTCCTCTGTTGGCGCAGTCGGGCAAGCTGGACGCGTTCCTGGTGCTGGAGCAGCTGCGCTGCAATGGCGTGCTGGAGGGCATTCGCATCTGCCGCCAGGGCTTCCCCAACAGGATCGTCTTCCAGGAGTTCCGCCAGCGGTAGGTGGCCCAGGCCGGGGCTGGGCGCCGAGGGCCGGGGCTGGGCACCGCTGGGGCGCTGGGGTGACTGCTGTCCTCTATTCCAAGCTATGAGATCCTGGCAGCCAACGCCATCCCCAAAGGCTTCATGGATGGGAAACAGGCCTGCATTCTCATGGTAAGCCCGGTCCTGGCCTCCCCGCCCCCCGGCCGTCCAGCCCCAGCCCTCACTGCCCTCCGGGGTGGGAGACGCCTCACTAGCCACCGCAGGGCCCAGCTGGACAGACACGGGAGCTCTCCTCCCACCCGCCCGCCTGCCCTCCCTCCCCGCAGATCAAAGCCCTGGAGCTCGACCCCAACCTGTACAGGATCGGGCAGAGCAAGATCTTCTTCCGCACCGGCGTCCTGGCCCACCTGGAGGAGGAGCGGGACCTGAAGATCACCGACGTCATCATGGCCTTCCAGGCCATGTGTCGGGGCTACCTGGCCAGAAAGTAAAGATGGCCGCCTTCCCCCCCCCCCCGGGATGGTCAGGGGTGGATCTGGGGAGCTCTGGGTTCTCACGGTGGACTCTGCTTGCTGGCTTCCACGACTCAGCCCTTCCCCTGGCCCGCTTCCCACCTCCAGCATCACTGGGGCCCTTCTATCCTTGATGTGGCCAAGATGGCAGCCGCCAAGATGGCAGCCGCCAAGATGGCGGCCATGGCCAAGATGGCGGCCATGGCCAAGAGAGATGGCAGCCGATACCATGCTATGCTTCCTCCCACCCAGTCGCCCTTGCGTGGCCGAGTGCTGGCTTGGTTGGAGATTTCTTAAAGACAACCAAGAGGAGAGTGGATGTGTCAGGAAGGGACTCCTATAGGGCAGAGGCAGGCTGGGTTGGTTTCCTGGGGGTGCTGGTCTGGCCGTGAGTCTGGGGTCCCCCTGGAGCATCGAGAAAGGCAGTGAAGCTCGTGCCGATGCTCAAGAGAGCGCCGGGTGGGAGGGGTGTGTAGGGAGGTCCCACATGGCCGGGGGGGGGGAGGGGGACAGTGAGGCCCAGGGGAGGCCCGTCCCTGGAGGCCGCCTCCCGCCCCGCAGGGCCTTCACCAAGCGGCAGCAGCAGCTGACGGCCATGCGGGTGATCCAGCGGAACTGTGCGGCCTACCTCAAGCTGCGCAACTGGCAGTGGTGGAGGCTCTTCACCAAGGTGGGCGCTCACCCCTCTCCCCGGAGGCCGCCCGCCCCAGCCCCCCCCCCCCGCGCGCCCCCGCCCTGCTGGCCCCGCGGCTGCACTGGCGATGGGCTACCAGAGGCCCCGAGCGGGCTCAGTGGCCGCATCCGGCCCGCCCCTTCCACGCCTTCCCCTGGGGACCAGCCTTTCTCTCCCAGCCACCTTCTACTGACTCTGGGAATGCAGCTGTGACTGCGCCCCCTGCTGCCCACTTTGTGAATGTCCCAGCTGACCAGGAGGCCTGCCCAGGGCCAGCCAGGCACAGACACAGATAGATAGGCCCAGGCCATGAAGGGGCCCGCTCTGTGGAAATGTCCACCTTCTTGACCCCACACCTGAAAATCTATACTAAGAAAACCACCTGACCATGCCGGCACCAGTGGCTTACTCCTATAATCCCAGCTACTCAGGAGGCTGCGATCTGTGGATCATGGTTCAAAGCCAGCCAGGGCAGGAAAATCCATGAGATTCCTATCTCCAATTAATCACACAAAAAGCCTGAAGGGGCGCTGTGGCTCCAGTGGTAGAGCACGCGCCTTGAGTGAAAGGAGCTCTCGGGCACAGTGGCCAGGCCCTGAGTTCAAGCCCCAGGACTGGCCAAAACAATTAAAAAAAAACAACCATACACATAAAAAGCAAAAGGTGAGAATGGTGAGCAGTAGGCCCAGGCTCGGCACGCACAGATGACCGCAGGAGAGCCTCTCGGTGCTGCTCCTGTTTGGGCACATGTGTCGTGGTTTGCCCTGTGCACACGACTGGACACTTGGCGACCTCTCTGGTCCCTCACCCTTGGAGGCCGGCCGCACCCTTCACTCTGGCTGCGAGCCAGTGAATCCCGTGGGCACTGGGGCTGCGTGTGAGCGGAGCATGTCCGCGTCCGCGTGCAGGTGAAGCCGCTGCTGCAGGTGACCCGGCAGGAGGAGGAGATGCAGGCCAAGGAGGACGAGCTGCAGAAGACCAAGGAGCGCCAGCAGAAGGCAGAGAGCGAGCTCAAGGAGCTGGAGCAGAAGCACACGCAGGTGCGCAGGCGCAGCTGGGACTACAGGCTGGCGGCCGAACACCAGGCCACAGACGGAAGAGGGGGGCCTCTCACCGGCTCTCTCCCACCCACCCCCCTGCAGCTGGCCGAGGAGAAGAACCTACTTCAGGAGCAGCTGCAGGCGGAGACGGAGCTGTACGCCGAGGCGGAGGAGATGCGGGTGCGGCTGGCGGCCAAGAAGCAGGAGCTGGAGGAGATCCTGCACGAGATGGAGGCCCGCCTGGAGGAAGAGGAGGACCGGGGCCAGCAGCTGCAGGCCGAGAGGAAGAAGATGGCGCAGCAGATGCTGGTAAGGCCGCCCAGGGAAGGAGCAAGCCCTGGTCACCTCAGCTCGCTCTGTGCTCTGTGTGCGTCAGCTAGTGCTGTGTAACAAAACAGCCCCAATGGAAATAATACTTAGCTGCCCTAATGAGAGCTTGGGAAAGCTTAGCCGGGTGGCGTTGGCTCAGGGTGGCGTGCACACCTGCTGAGAGGCTGTTGGGGTGCTTCAGGGCCAGGTGGAAGGCTGAACCCCCTCTCCCAGAACCGCCACGGCGCCCATTATCCTACGTTACAGAGACCGAGAATGCCACTAAGCGACCCTTGAGAGGGAGACGGCGGGGGCTGGGGTCCCTGGCCCTGGTGTTTGTGGGTATCTGAATTCACCTGGGGTTTCTCCCCCCCTCCGCCCCACCCCCCAGGACCTGGAGGAGCAGCTGGAGGAGGAGGAGGCCGCCCGGCAGAAGCTACAGCTGGAGAAGGTCACGGCCGAGGCCAAGATCAAGAAGCTGGAGGACGACATCCTGGTCATGGATGACCAGAACAACAAACTCTCCAAGGTGGGCTTCCCGTGGGGCATCCCTACCCCCCCCCCGCCCCTGGGCCGGGCCCCACGTGACGCCCAGGGAGGGCGGTGTGCAGAGAGGCCTCACCGAGGGGCGGGCTGGGATCTCCCACTGGCCTTGGGGAGGAGGGGAGGCCTCGAAGGGAGGCTTTCCTGGAGGAGGCTGGCATCTCAGCCAAGGAAGAACAGAGACATGGGAATATACGAGCAGAGTCATCTTGACTGGCCCGCTGTGCAAAGGCCCCGGGGCAGAGACACGCTGGCGTGGGGTAGCACTGGAAAGACCGTCCCTTGAGCGGAGGGAGCGGGAGGGACAAGAGGACAAGCGGTCGGCGGGACAAGACACTTCTCTGGCGTTTCAGACGCCTAGAAAACGCCAACACCGCTGCTTCCTGTCCCCCTCTCCACTCCCCATAAACACAGGAGCGGAAGCTTCTGGAAGAAAGGATCAGCGACTTGACTACCAACCTCGCGGAGGAGGAAGAGAAGGCCAAGAACCTCACGAAACTGAAGAACAAGCACGAGTCCATGATCTCGGAACTGGAGGGTGAGCCGGGGCTCCGCAGGCAGTCCCAGGCACCCAGGAGGCTGAGAAGTAGAGGATCCGGGGTGGAGGCCACAGGGCCAGCGGAGTCGGGTGGGGTCTGTGGATCAGGGTGGGTCAGGCACTGGGGCCAGGCCAGAGGGTGCCCCCCCGCCCCCCCCTGCCCGCCCGCGTCCTGACGGGCCCGCCGGCCGTGTTGCAGTGCGGCTGAAGAAGGAGGAGAAGAGCCGGCAGGAGCTGGAGAAGCTGAAGCGGAAGCTGGAGGGAGACGCCAGTGACTTCCACGAGCAGATCGCGGAGCTGCAGGCGCAGATCGCAGAGCTCAGGGCGCAGCTGGCCAAGAAGGAGGAGGAGCTGCAGGCCGCGCTGGCCAGGTACGCCGCGGGGGTGCCTCGGGCAGAGCTGCAACCCCACCCCACCCTCCCACCCTCCCACCCCACCATCGCTGGCTCCCACCGTTGATGGGGCCTGGGCCTGTCCACCGCCCAGTCTTGCTCTTTCTGTCTTGCTGCTGTCCACTCCCCGGCTCAGTGCCCACCTGGCCCCGTTCATGCCCGTGTGAGGAGGGCTCAGGCCTCTGCCTTTGGCCATTCCACCATTCAGTCACTGCCCTCTGGACAGGGTGCCACGCTCCCCCCCAAAGGGCCTGGCGTGGAAGGCCGGGGTGTGGCCTCTAGAGAGAAGGGAGGAAGCCCAGAGCACTATCTTAGTAACGAAGCATCACGAGGGGCCGGGGCGTGGTTCGCTGGGCGCACACAGGGCCCTGGATTCAATCCTCAGCCCTGCCAAAAACATATATGAGGGAAAGAAAGTGTGTGTGTGTGTGTGTGTGTGTGTGTGTGTGTGTGTGTTTGCATGGCATACATGTGCCAGTACTGGGCATTATCCTTTAGTGTTTTTGCTCTTGAGCCACAGCTCCACTTCTGGCTTTGTTTTTTCTGGTTAATTGGAGATAAGAGCCTCGTGGACTTTTCTTCCTGGGCTGGCTTTGAACTGTGATTCTCAGATCTCAGCCTCGGGTAGTTAGGATTATGGGAACAAGCCACCAAACTCTGGGCCTGGGCCTTCAGCTCAAGGCGAGCACTCTACCACTTAAGCCACAGCGCCTCTTTCTGGTGGTTCACTGAAGAATCTCAAGGACTTTCCTGCCTGGGCTGGCTTTGACCCGTGATCCTCAGATCTCAGCCTCCTGAGTAGCTAGGATGACAGGCGTGAGCCACTGGTGCCTGGCTTTTTTTTTTTTCTTTTTCTTTTGAGAAAGGATATCACTGTATAGTTCAGGCTGGCATGGAAGATCCTCCTGCCTCAGCCTCCCGAGTGCTGGGATTACAGGCATGCACAACCACTCCCACTGCGACCTGCTCTTACCACTCTTGGCCCTTTTGTTCCACATGAAGCTGTCCCTCCCCCCCCCCACGTCCTGGAGATGTGTATGAGATGTTGCCCCTACCCCTTGGGTCTTAGCCCTGTTCCCCACCCCCCCTTCCCGGCAGGCTGGACGACGAAATTGCGCAGAAGAACAACGCTCTGAAGAAGATCCGGGAGCTGGAGGGCCACATCTCAGACCTGCAGGAGGACCTGGACTCGGAGCGTGCGGCGCGGAACAAGGCCGAGAAGCAGAAGCGAGACCTGGGCGAGGAGCTGGAGGCCCTCAAGACGGAGCTGGAGGACACGCTGGACAGCACAGCCACCCAGCAGGAACTCAGGTGTGGGTCCGGCGCGAGCCCCCACAATGGCTGTGGCTGGATGGGGGAAGAGGCGCTCGGCTCTGGATCCAGTGTCAGCCCCTGGTTTCTTGTCATCAAGGGCCAAGCGGGAGCAGGAGGTGACGGTGTTGAAGAAGGCTCTGGACGAGGAGACGCGGTCCCACGAGGCACAGGTGCAGGAGATGAGGCAGAAGCACACGCAGGCGGTGGAGGAGCTCACCGAGCAGCTGGAGCAGTTCAAGAGGGTATGTGGTGGGCGAGTGCCCTACCTGGAGGGGTCTGGGGCCACCCCTTCGAGAATGCACCCAAGCCCGATGTGCTGTCACACCCCAAACTTGGCGTGCACATGTGGAAAATTCCACACCTGCTTCCATGTGATGCATCAGTCAGGTGCACTGAAGATAAAGTTGGGTACAGTAGCACCTGCCTATAGTCCCAGACACTTGGGTCGTGGTGATCAGGAGCCTCCTAGAGTTCATGGAAAGCCTGGGCAAAAAAAGTAGCCAAGACTTCATCTCCGCTAGTAAAAAGCTAGGGGTAGTGGTACGTGCCTCTGCCATCCCGGCGACTGGCAAAGGGCAAATAGGAGGATCACAGTCCTGGCCTGGCCTTGGCGCGGTGGCTCCCACGTCCCCACAGTGCGGCCTGGGGTCCCTTTTGGGGGTCTGGGACACCCCCCCCTCTCTGTGGAAATAGCCCCCACTTGAGCCATAGCCCCGATTTGTAGTTGGGACTTGTGATGGGGTCTCCAGGCTGGCCTCTGACTGTCATCATCCCATCTCTGCCTGGCGGGTAGCTGGGATTCCAGGGGTGCCCCACCATGCCCAGGGACCTGACCGCTGGTGCCTGGCTTGGTTTGGACCCGAGGAGATGGGGTGGCAGTTTGTCAGCCCGTGCATTTGGAGAACAGCACCCCAGAAGTGTTGTCTGGGTGGATGGGTGTGTGTGTCCCAGCTGCAGAGCCGGGCAGCACAGCCCTAGGGAGGAGGGAGGAGCAGAGGGGGGAAGGGAAGGAAGGCAGCCAACCTCCCCCCCCCCCCCACGTGCTGCCCCAGGCCAAGGCGAATCTGGACAAGAGCAAGCAGACGCTGGAGAAGGAGAACGCGGACCTGGCCGGGGAGCTGCGGGTCCTGGGCCAGGCCAAACAGGAGGTGGAGCATAAGCGCAAGAAGCTGGAGGTGCAGCTGCAGGAGCTGCAGTCCAAGTGCAGTGACGGGGAGCGCGCCCGCGCCGAGCTCAGCGACAAGGCCCACAAGCTGCAGGTGAGCGCCCCCTAGCGGCGGCCGCCCCTCCCGTCCCGCCTGCCACGCGCTGTCCCGGCCTTCGGACGCCGGCCAGGCGGGCGATGCCTGCCTAACGCATCACCTAACATGCCGTTACTCTGGAAGGGGAAGGCGTGTCCTGTCCGTGGGACTGGGGAGCCTGTGCGCAGGCGCAGTGGTCAGAGACGGCTGCTGGGGACGAAGGAGCGGGTTGCGAGGGAAAACATACGGGGGGGGCACCATGGCTGCATAAGGAACGGCCTTTGAGCCCCATGATCGGGTGATGGGAAGCCAGCGGAGGGCTTCACGCTGAGGTCTGTCCTACTGGGGTTCCACCGGCCTGGCCTGATGTTCTCAGCCTTCCACCCCGTGCTTGGCATGTGTGTAGTGGGAGTGCAGGGCCGGGAAGGAAGGAAGGAAGGAAGGAAGGAAGGAAGGAAGGAAGGAAGGAAGGAAGGAA